CAGAATTTTTCAAGTTTTAGGATAGAAATACCATGTGTGTGCCTTTATATTTTTGGTAGAATATGGGCAGCACCCTGTAATTGGACTTAATAGCTCTGTCAACACCTATGAATATTCACGCTAAGCAGATTAAATAGCACTATACATAGCCTCATCATTTCAGGTCAGGTTTTGTCATCACCAAATGTTTTTTTTTTGTTTGTTTTTTTAATTGGTTTACACACCTCTGAGGATTCTGTCATTTCACATATGGGATTAAGGCTCTGTACTGTGTAGCCTCTCAGGGGCTTTCCTAAGTCAAGCGACTTTTGGCAGTAGAGCAGGAAAGAATCCTAATGAATTCATACTTCTTATAGTTTGTGTTTTTGTGATTTTTATTTTTGGGATTTTTTAAAATCCATATTTCTTATGCATGCATTTTTGCAATGCTGGGGATCAGACCCAGGGCTTTGTACATGAGTAGGTAAGTGTTCTACCACACTGAGCCCCATCCCCTTATTTATTTGTTTGTTTGTTTGTTTGTTAGTTATAGTTGGACACAATACCTTTATTTTATTTATTTTTATGTGGTGCTAAGGATTGAACCCAGGGCCTCCCAAGTGCTAGGTGTGCTGTCTATCACTGAGACACAACCCCAGTCCCCCCATATTATTTTTAAAAACTGTTCAGGGCAGGATGAACACTTGCCTCGAATGGGTGGGACACTGGGTTCAATCCTCAGCACCACATAAATAAATAAAATGAAGTTATTGTTTCTACAACTAAAAAAATATTTTTTAAAAAAACTGAAATAGCTTATTCCCCAAGCTCAGGAAGCACGTATCACTCTTTGTAAAGTTCAGCCAATACAGAGTGTTTTTTATAAAGAAGAAAATTAAAATCATCTATAATCTTATCATTCAGAGTGATTAACTATTACTGATCTTCTAGATTTTCTTTTCTATGTAGGAACACATAAAGGAAAAATATATTATTTTAAGTGGACTTAATTTGCCTAGATTTGAATTCTGTGTGATTAACTAGATATGTGACCTTGGGGAAATTAACCACTTTGTGCCTGAGTTTCTTTATCCATACGGTGGGTGATCATGTGCCTTCCTGGCCAGGTTTTCATAGGTACCAAGTGAATCGCTTAGAGCAGCACTAGGAGCATGGTGCTCTCCCCTCAGCTATTATTGTTTCATGTTTTTCACTTGCTACTTTCAGTTTTCACTTTTAATAAAACATTCTGAGGTAATAAAAAGGTATAGAGGCACATAAATTTTAATACTCATATAGTATCCTTCTGTGTAGATTTTTTTTTTTCATGGTGCTGGGGATTGAACTCAGGACCTTGTGCATGCGAGGCAAGCACTCTACCAACTAAGCTGTATCCCCAGCCCTGTGTAGATATTCTTTGATTTATTTAAACACTGCAAATGAGCATCCTTGTACCTATTTTTCTTTTCATTTGCCCACGAATTTTGTTAGAATAACCCCTAGAAATGGAATCACTGACTGAAAGCACATATCCTTTAAAAAATTGTATGCAAATAACCTAACTTAAATTAAAAATGGATTTTTTTTTCTTTTGGCTGTTTGGGGGACCCCCATTTTGCTGCTTCACTTTTTTTATTTTTAAGGAACCCTTTTGAAATAGAGCACTACATCTTTTTGTTTGTTTAGTTATAGAAAGACACAATACCTTTATTTTATTTTTATGTGGTGCTGAGAATCGAACCCAGTGCCTCCAGCATGCTAGGCAAGCGCTCTGCCACTGAGCCACAACCCCAGCCCTACTGCTTCACTTTTGTACACTTGATTTTCAAAGCCTGGGTTTTAAATATCTCAAATCCAAATCTGCATTTTATCCTGGAATGTTTAAGTTATGGGGCTGTGGATGTGGCTCAAGCGGTAGCGCGCTTGCCTGGCATGTGTGCGGCCCGGGTTCGATCCTCAGCACCACATACAAACAAAGATGTTGTGTCTGCTGATAACTAAAAAATAAAATATTAAAATTCTCTCTCTCTCTCTC